TACGTTGTTCGCTTTGGTTTGGTTTGATTTTGGTGTTGTGTTTGGTTCCTTACGTGTCTAAGCTTTGATGAAAACGGATTTTTGGCACTTCCCCAGAACCCCCCGCCGATCTTGTTTCTTTTCAGGAGACTAAAATTAATCGTTCGCGTAACGCGGTTTGGTGATGTGAATTTCGGTGTCCTGTGTACGATGGAACTCTTGTGTCTGGCTCTTTGCTACTGGGGAAACACGTGTAATCTAGAGATCGAGTAGCATCGTCAGATATACTGGGTGAGCCACGTTCAAAAGGCCTAATTACCTTCTCTGACTATGGCGATGCGAGAAAATTTTGATGCGTAGTTTAAACGGCTTCAAAGGCGCGAATAACACGGAAGACAAATTTTTTTTTCAACTGTATGTTGCAGCAGAACATTGACGTGCGTTTAAACGTGCATGACAACGTGACCTTAAAACTGCCGTTCATTTTTCGCAATTTCTTTCGTCAAACAAATTTCTCTTCCATTTTATACATCCTTTGAAGCTACTTAAATTACGTGTAAAAATTTTCTCGTACCGACATAGTTAGAGAGGATAATTGGGTGGCCTGTTTTACGTGGCTCACCGTGTATACGAAGTGTTTGTCGAGATCGAAGCGGGGTTTAGAGGGTTTCTTTGCCATACAGAATTTTTCGAGGGTATAAAGTTTGAAAAGAAAAATCGCTCTTGCGGTATTTTTTGCCTAATAACGAGGCAACGTTCAAGTGTTGGAGAATTAAATTTGAAAAAGAGGATTAACGTGTTAAAATATGCAAAAGTGTGTTCTGACGATATTCGAGGAAACGGGGTATAATTGTTATTAGAAACTATGGAAATTTGTCATTTTTTGCAATAAAATCTTACATCGTATATATTAGAATTTTAATTTCTTATTAGACTTTTCAAATACCTGAATATTTTTACGTGGCAAAAAACTTTCGAAATCTCGTTAAATACGTAACGGGAGGATCGAAATTTATATTACTTTTAATTGGTAATTTACCGGTATATGTAAATCTTAAGCATTAGTTTAACGCGTTCGCAGAATAATTTGGGATTTCTTTCTTTATCATCACCAAACATCGTTAAGTAATGCTTCTGCACTAACGGATTGCAAAAAATGTGTATACTTATTGCGACAATTTATCTGACATGTTATTCTTATCCTTCAAGGTATAGACACCACCGTGGTTCATCATCAAGGACCCCTGATATCAAGCGCGGCCATAATCGGTATCGTGATCGCTGTACTGTTCATTATTATTGTCGTGATCGATGTTATCTGCTGTTGCGCGCATAAGACAGGTGAGAATATTTTTCAAATTTAACAAAAAAAGTTCATTCTGCGCTGCAATTTCAAACTGGATCAAGTTGATGTAACTTTGACCTAATTCAACTTAGTTTAAATTACGCGTTAGGTATGCGCAAATTTTTCCACCGTTTGCAAATCGGTAGCGTTTAAAAGACACTGCGCGTTTCTTTTCATAATTGGTATTTAGGACAGTACTGCAGTGAATTCAGGATGATGATTATGGTATTAATGTTATATTATTGGTATTTTTATTAAAAATATTTTGATTTTATTTTGATAACGACTAATTAGAAATGCAAAAAAAATAAATACACATTTTCTGAAACTTTTGTGTAATAACCTAAATCGAAAGCAAAATTGGAATGCAACGTTCACATAGGGAAAGTTAAATAATTACACCGGGAATATTGAAATTACAATGTGCAAACATATTTAAGCCAGAAACATAAATTCACGAGAAGTGTAATATTAAGCAAAAGTGTCATATGAATTCATTAGCAATTGCATCAAGAGCATTTAAACATGGAACATATATATATATATTTCACTGAGATTTCAATATAAACGTATCTAAAATAGCGACATATCGTAACGTTGCAAACGTAATGAATTTATCGGGATTGCCGTCCTGCGTGTATTTGAAATTGCAAGCTAGATTTATCTAAAATTACAACGCTAATTTGCCTGATGCAGCAGCATGAATTTATCTGAAATTGCTCGCGGCATAAACTTGTTTGAAATTGCAACGTGAATTTATCTGAAAGTGCAACTGTAAATCTAGCTGAAATTGCAACGCTAATTTGCGCCGAGTCGTGTCGCATAAAATTTATTAGGATTTAGAAAGTGGATTTCATCGAGAAAATAATAAAAACAAAACTAAGAATGCTTGAGAAAGAAATTAACGTACGATCCATCTTGTTTATTTTGTTAAATTTTGTAAAATCGAAGAGAAAGGGAAACTAAGAATATTTAAGGGAGAAATGAACGATCGATAGATCCTGATTATTTTATAAAATTTTGGAAAATCGAAAAAAAAGGGAGACTAAGAATATTTAAGGGAGAAATTAACGATAGATCCTGATTATTTTATAAAATTTTTGAAAACTAGAGAAAAAGGGGAAACTAAGAATATTTAAGTAAGAAATTAACGATCGATAGATCCTGATTATTTTATAAAATTTTGGAAAATCGAAAAAAAAGGGAGACTAAGAATATTTAAGGGAGAAATTAACGATAGATCCTGATTATTTTATAAAATTTTTGAAAACTGGAGAGAAAAAAGGAAAACTAAGAATATTTAAGGGAGAAATGAACTTACGATCGATCTTCATTTTCTCAAATTTTGTAAAAAAAATGTTGTTACAGGAATCATATATTACGCCTGCGAGCGATCTCGTCGGAAACCAGTGGACGAAGAGGACGCAAAACTTGGCAGGTGAGACTCATTCCAATCGAATTCTTTCACACGCCGCCACACGTACACACGAAACATTCTCTCAATATTCAAATCGATTTACTCTCGACCTCCTTGTACACGTTACATATATTTTACATTGTGCTTTGGCAAGTCTTTGGCGCTATATTTACCGTGTCATCGAACTTTCCACCCACCATTTGAACATCGCACTCTATAACCACCGTGAATCTCTTTTTCTTTCACCAACCGAACGATTTTTCGCGACACGAATCGAAATTCCCGCGCGCGCGCCACTCGTGACTAACGTGCGAATTAGTCCACGGAACGTTGAACTCCGAAAAAGCGATCGATTTGTAATATTTCGTGAGAAACACCCCGATTTCTTCTAAAGCCAAATTTTTTCGAAGAATATCTCAGTAGTGTTCGTTAAAAACAAATTTTTCATCGAAGCAACTTACGTCTTTTCAATTTTCGATTAAAATTTTTGGTTAAGTTTGTTCGAAATTCGGGAAAAATGTGAGGATAAAAATTAACGAAAAATATTTCAATATCTACTATTATTTTATTTCAAATATTTCAGTAAATCACTTTAATAACGAGTTTTATTCGTTTCTTTGCATTTCGGGTATTCAGATGTTTCTATTGAAATACATGAATTCGAATTGTCAAGGCTTTCCCGCGATAGCCCAGTCCTTTCAGTCTGAACCGTGGAGCAGAGTACTGAATAAAAAGCTAAACGACCATACAGAGAAGCCTTTACAGTTCGAATTTAATGGACACTCAACAAATCGGAACCGAGTATCCTTTATCGCGTTCTCATTGGACCTTCGCTTTCGAGCCGGAGCTACATTTGTCCCGCAAAAAATAGTAGAGTGTTCCGTGGTTAAATGGTCCGGTTAACTCGTTAGAACCTAGCCCGCCAATAGGAGACACTTTGACCCTCTCGCATCTGTCTCTTTTTTTTTTCTTTACCGGTAGTCTTTACGGTTGGCGGTTTCCATTGCCGTATTGCGACCAAAAAATGGCCAATGTCGCCGGGGTCACGGCCGTCCAAGACTCGGGTAGTGGAAAAAATACCATTAGATTGGTCAAACACACTGCCATGTAAGAAAGATACATAAGTGAAAATCAGTAAGAAGCATGGCCCCTCTCGAAGGGGCTCTGACACGGCTTTCAACTTGGCATGATGTTTTTTTTTTTCGTTTTGTTTTCATTTCTTTAACGTTCTCCGACCTTCCTCGTCTTTTTTCTTCTGTTTGTTTTCGTTTTTTTTTTTCTTCGACTCCTCGATGCCGGTAAAGAAGCTGGAACGATTCGAGAACATATGGCATCATGGAGGCGAAATTGGCGGGATAACCGTCGATAAAACAGAATTGCAGCATGAAACTTTGTCTGTTCTTCATTTGTCATTTTCCCTCCATTTTTCCCTGTTATATAATGTTTTGCCGCCAACCATTTTTCATACAAGAGAACACTGTACATTATTCACCATGTTCAGTTCATTAAACGTTTACTTGTTCCTCCTTTACCTCTTTCTCCACTCTCTTTATCTCTCTCTCTCTCTACGCGCGCTGCATAAACTATCGCCATTACTCGCTCGTGCTTTGGCTATGCTGCATGAGATATCAACACTCTGAAGTGATATTAATTGCTCGTTAACTACGTAGCACACTCACCACCATTCGCTCTAATTTACCCTGCTCTATTCGACCATGGATCATGAAACTAGGTAATTCAATTTCATTGCCTCGTGAAAAAGGTTACCGTGAAGACCGGAGTATTTTTCACTCGTAAATAAAGCACCTCACCGTATGAACTCCCGAAATGTGTGTACGTTTAATGACATTTCGAGTACTTACCTTTTTTTTCGTGAATGTTTCTTCCACCCCGCAGACGTTTTCCATTCAGCTACAATCATACTCCTTGCGTTTATTTATATTCACTTCACACCGTATGTTATAAACCACGCGACGAGGATAAACGAATATAGGAACGATACTCCTGTTGCAAATACACAATACTAACGAGTGATGGCATGCATTATGCGTATTATTCGATGTTGTATTACGCGCCGCATCTCTCGAAGTGCTCTTTTATGCCCAGTACTAGAAGTAACCTTAAAGAACCATTTGACAAATCGTCTTCCATTAATAACCGTGCGTTTTTGTTGAAACATTTTAGAGATGAGAAGGAGCCACTGAAGGAAGAGAAGAAAATCACACCGATCATTGACTCAGGTCTGCGCCGAGAGACATCTATCACCTTCGACGGGAAGAGATCCGTTTCAAAGACCGGTTTCGTCGGCAAGGATTCAGCTGTCTAGATATTCTTCCGGCGTACTAGATTGTAAATCACCGTGGAAATACTATTTCTGGCCAAAGTGTTCTCGAACGATACCGAAAAGTAAGCCCGTACATCCTGAAACATACACGTAGGGAACAGAGTTTCGCGATTGTCAAGAACCTTTTTCCTTTCTCGAGTTCGAAACGATTCGCAACGCCATTCGGGATTTACGCGGGAACATAGAATAACGACATGCTCGAGACGAGATCTCGTTCTATGTACTTTTTTTTCAAGCGAGACACGATGCGCCATCTTTCACCGCGATCAAACAATACAAAATCGCGTTCGACTGCTTCATCCACGAAATAACTAATGACCGACGTGACGATTCACGCGTACATTCTCGTCCGTCCTCTTTCCTCGAGGACACGACAGAAAGATTGTAGCATTTAATTCGTAGGCCCGCACATTACCAATTTGCTCGATACGAAATTGTTCTGCACCGTATGATTTTCGCGAGTCCCGATAGTTTTACGTCTATTTTGTAACAGTAAGTGACGAATCCTTATGATAAATAAATCTCTCTTTCTCCCCCCTCCCTCGTCAATGTATTCACCAAAGCGTATGAAATACAAGCGTAATCTACGCGATCTATGGAAAAACAGGTACGAAATGTATTGTGTTCTAAGATCGTTTTAGGAGAAGAAAAAGAAAAGAAACTATTGATGTAATGTAACTTAGCGAATATTGCAAGAAGGAGGAGTTAGATAGATCGCTTACACGAGGAGAAAGAATGTACAAAATTTATCGCGAAATTGGTAGAAGTTGGTCGATAATTAGTGATCATTGCTTCGAGGCATCTCTTAGATAATCGCAGTCTAGTACGCTGGGTAGTACTGTGTTATTGTGTGCACAGCACGAAACTAAAAAAGAAACAATTCGCCTATTCCATCTCGTTTCTGCATTAATATAAAGAAAAAAAGAACATCTAACTGACTAATAGTAGAAACTAAAGTTTTGAAAAGTATTACGTACGAAGTAGAAACGAACGGAACAGGAATATCTCTCTATCTCTATCTTCTCTCTCTCTCTCTCTCTCTCTCTCTCTCTCTCTCTCTCTCTCTCTTTTTCTATCTTTCTATCTTTCTATCTTTCAACGAGGTTCAAATTTCACAAGAGCCTCTGATCTGCCGGCGGAATTTTAAAGGTTATATTCTCTTGACACGTTCCCATTCTTGTACGTTTTTTCAATTAGAAGTCGTATTATACGATTTACAACACAGGTACACTTCATTTGGTTTATATTCGGCACGATTTTAAGCGACGAATTATCAATTTCATGATTGTATGACTTGATTTGAAAGACTGATTCATTTAAGCGCGAAACTTAATGAAAACGAATCGTACCGGTTATCATTGACGATCAAATAACTCAGGTTATTAAACACTTCGGCTTGTCGTATTCGGCTTGCGTGTATTCTTTTACAAGATTAACTGTTACGTGTGTTTCCTCTAGCCACGAAGAAATTTTTTATAAGAAAGTGTTTCTGTCGCTCAGCTTTCGGGTGTGACTTATAACTCTTGCCCTATCAATAATAAGTATGACAGACGTATAGGTTATGCGCTGTACGTTTATCCACGATTAGTTAATAGTTGTGTTTTCTACTTCGAGGTGACCGCCGCCTCTCATTGCGAAATAATCCTTTTAATCCGTGATATAATTTATCGTGATAGTCTACCTTGTGTACATTTAATAATGTAAAGATTACATCACCAAGGCATCGCGTGCAAGAGCAGCCCAACTATCTTTGTCATTTTTATCCCTTTTGTTACTTATATTTTGTGTATCCTATATAGTTACTCTGCATGTAAGAAAGTAATCTAACCGGAGGATTGGACAGTTTTTGCGGTGAAATTCTGTTCGGTTAAGATTGTATATTATCACGATCCGGTTATCAAATACAGCTGTTGTGTAGAACAGTATACTTGAAAGCTGTAAAATACGAAAGTTAACGAAAGGATTCTGAATGGAAAGTATATTTGATATCTTGATCGTGATAATGTTTTAATAACTCAAGACGTATCTTTGAATAATTAAGTCTCTCTAAAACAAAGTATGTATAGTGTAATCAAAAGCAGCGATATCTTTGATATTCGGGCGAATGAACTCTTATCGCTTTAAACAGTGAGTTATTGCAGTTGCAACAGGGATCACAATTTTTTCGTTTCGAGACATGTACACAAGAAAAGAAAAAAAAAAAAGAGAACAATTGAAAGCTGCCATATATATATTATAATATTCGAATAACATAAATTAATACCAGTTTTGTCCTAATGTGTAAGATGGCTTTTCAAGAAAACGCAGTTAAAATGTGATAAGTTTTTGTAAATGCTTGTAAACGTTTTTCCTAATCTGTAAGAAGTATTGGATATAAGTTTAGGAGGGTTCGGTAAGTTTAGAATGTTCTATGCGAGTTCAGAAGGTGCGTTCGCAAAAAAGAAACAAGGAAAATAATTAAAAGTAAACCGTAAAAATAAATTGATCGTGTGTATATTTATTTAACATAACTGCTTACCTATCTATAAAGAAAAGAAAGTTTAAAAACAACCATCAATTCCCTCGCTTGCGAACACACTTTCTGCACGGGTAGCTTTTTTACGTACCGTAAACACAGAGTTTTGCCAAATATATAGTACTTATTAGCTTATAAGTCAACGAGTACATATTATACACGAGAAAAAAAAATATATATATCGAAAAGAGAAGAAAAAAAAAAATAACGGACTGTTTGTCGTAATCGTCACGCAGTATTTCGAGACTTCACCCAGTCAAAAGTGATGGCGACTCGGTGGAGAGGAGAAATCACGTTTATCTAGCTATTTATATTCGTTGCCAAAATCCGTAACCCAAGTAGCTTCCCACGAAAAGTATTACTGCGCATCTTCCAATTTAAAGAATATTATTACAAACATTATTAAAGTTCGTAGGTGTAAGGCATATTTTTTATGTATGCTTTTTCTGTACGCGTCAAGGAAACGTACTCGACTAATAAAGGATAAAGAACATTTTCAAGGTCAACATGATTCACGTCTACACAATGATTCGTGTTTATTTACACGCAAAATTTTTTTTATTCAAACACTAATTCTTCGTTACAGTTTCAAAAAATGAGTACGCGCGCGCGTTTTATTGTATTGAAAGACTTTGCACTAACAGGCACGTAAAAAGTACAAAAACAAAAAACGATCGATTCGTTAACGATAGAATATATCAGACCTGCCACATTATAATATCAATACGCAGGTTCTACTTGGAATCCATTAATATCTCGTTTTACGTCCTCACCAAATATGCAGCTATAAGCGAACTACGCGTTATGGCACTGCATTGTTCTCCAATGATAAAAAGTACATGGCCAAGTGCGCGGATGATAATAAAAAGCGTATATAAAATTCATTCTTCGTTTTCAGTTCACGTTCCCCACATACAGTAAACGTTAAAACGCTCTATCGCGTTGCGAGATTCTTTCGGTAATAATAAAATATTGCACACTACAGTCTAACTCTTTTATCACACTTCAATGCCTAGATTGGAACGTTTACCTTTCTTTATTAAAAGTTGCTCCACATTTAATTGCGGCGGTTCTGTTCGTGTATGCCACACATATACCTAATTGAGATATAAAAAAAATATAATTATTTGACGTATACAACGAGGAATATACAAAAGACAATCTCTATATACCTTTGTGCAACAATCTGCCAATGGCTCTAGTTCATCCCTACTGACGATTTGTTTCAAAATTTCGCTCTCCTGATAACCACCCTGAACGTCATACGAAAAGACAGCATCTGGATTCTCCAATAAAAGCCTCAAGTTGATCGCAAAGCCTGCCATATCCAACGGAAACGGTCGATCTGGCTTCCAAGCTGCGTTGAAACCGATTACCTTATTAGTAACGTTATCACATATTGGTTTCTCCACCATTAAACCGCCAACTAGACCAACCGGCCACACGCCGACCTTCTGAATTTTCACCATCTGTAACATATGCGCGGATTATATAACGTTTCTGGAACTAGACCGATCGTCTGGTACAAATCATCGATATTCTCACCTCGGAAAACAATTGAACTGAATACGTATTGTCATCGTCAGCAAAAAATACTATCCCTTTGTCTGTCGGTTTGAGATACTCTCGAAGCCAGCGTAACGCTGCGTTTCGTTGCTCGACGCCACGTGGCTTCTTCCAATTAGGATCGTTTCGACCTAATTTGTAATTAGGCGGAGTTGCTGCCGCCAAGTGGGTGTAAATTAAACCGCTGTTCTCTAAAAAATGCGTAACGAGTTTTGTCTTTCTCGCAGCATCTTCTACGAGGATCCAATGGAAGTTCGGTACATGTAAAAATGTTTGCGACAACCGTGTCAATTCGGCTTTTTGTACAGGTCTAGCGAATGTAGGGGTAATCGCATAAATCGTAGGCTCATCAACGGGTTCCCGTTTGTTTCCAGTGAACGCATCGTGCTCCTCTAACCTTTTGATTATGCTGTATGTTAGCCCGTACACATCTCGTTGCTCGAGGATTATCGACTCCAGCTTATCCTGTAGCTCTTCCCATTTGTACGACTGATAATCTTACGAACAAAAAAGTAACAATTATGTAGATGCGTCTTTGGTGAAAGGTAAATCGTAGTTTCGAGCGTTCGAATTAAAAGTAAAAATCAGAGGAACGTGGCAATTAACATATGTTCAAACGGAGAGAAAAACGTATTCGGAACAATAATGAATTACGAATTACAAGATAAATATCATAGATGGAGTCTAATTGAACATCGCGGCGAATATGCGTGGAAGCTGTGCTACGCAGTTTGTCACATCTGGATGCACAAAAGAGTTTCTATGCGCGGACGCTGAACGATCGTCGAGAGATGCACAAATAAAGCAAACGACGTTTATTGAACACTTACATATAAAACTTTGAAATGCTATCACATGAACTAGGAACAATATTAGGAAGCCCTTGTTACAACGAAAACCGCCCCACATATTAGATTTAATACCGAAATCGTCGGTGAGAAACACACTTTCTGTCATTGTTGTCGCGCCATGACACTATCCTACGATGCCGACTGCACTAAACGGCAATAATCCACGTTCTTTCACATAAGAATCAATTACGAAAACTGATATCAAATATAAGGCCACCTCGCGAAGGATACGTCATACCAAATATTAATCATTAACAAAACGATAATTATGAATAGGAACTACATTATCAACAGAGTCTAATGATAATCATAACAAGAATCGTAGAGTAACAGTATTTCTATTCTATTCACACAAACTCCACTTATAATTTCAGTCGGAACATTACGACTAGAAGGCAGTGAAACTTTTATTGTCATTGTAAACGTCGCGAGGATATATTTCACAAAAAAAGGAATGAACAGCACGCTTATCTGACGTTTACAGGTTAGTAATCGTTTCCCGCGTAAATGTCCCTAGATCCCACTCCGCCTTGAACTTCGATAAAACTTTTGGCGCGAAATTTAAACTACTTTCATGACAATACTGCGTATATGCATACCCACGCCTAATACGCATTCTACAAACACTGAAAACAGCACAGAGGATAAGAAAAATGCTACACGAAGTTTGTCTATCTGATTCAAATGAAAAAACCGTAAAATTGGATTGCAAAATTAACAGTCCTAGAAATCAATAGAGTATATATCAAAACAACCAATACCAAGTCGGTACAAACTTTCCCAGTAAGGTATACACAAGATATTCCTCTTAAATACCGTTAAAACTGTGCGTTACATCAACGCAATCGTACAAGCCAGCTAAAAACGTTTCATTCTCCGTTCTCTCGAAGACCGTGGAGGCACGGGAGAAAAAGAAACGAGTAGCGCTGGTGATCGAACCGCGCGTTCCTTCCCCCCACACAGCGGTCCTTTCCGAAGACAAACTCCCTAGACGACGCGTGGAAAGCAGCGACACCGGCTGCGGTCGAACGAATTCAACGGGGACTTGGGCGCGTGCGATACGAGGCGCGCGTAGAAGGGCGCATGCTGAGATGTGTCACGGACACGCGTGTGTCACGATCGCGCATACATTTGTGTCGTGACTGGCCAGAAGGCGCCGCGGCGGGACGCAAGGGGGTGGCGTTCGAGGCTCGGGAGAGCAGACAGGCGCGTAGATAGGCCAGCTCACGGTGGCGTTTCCGCAGCGAGCTACGGAATCATCCCATGCTCGTAGGTCGCGCCGCGCGTGTGGCTCGCGTTCAGAGGGGTTACTCGTCGATGGTCACGCGTTTTCCTCTCACAGCGGTAACAGTGTGACTGAACAGCAGCACAGGTTTATTTGCAACATAATCGTACGGGCTAGAATTTTGGAGGGGAGGGAAGAGTGTGCGATGAATTCTCACGGAAGGAGGTTGTCGACGCGATAGAGTTCTCGGGGTAGAGAGCAGTGGGAAATATCCCGCGTAAGTGGTCGGTTTGCAAAACTGGTTGGTTGTATCGAGGCGGGTACGGTTCGGGGAGCTGCTGTGCCTGCTGCCTCTACTCGTGGTGGCGGTGGCAGTGGTAGTGGTGGCCGTGGCGGTGGTGGTGGTTTCCTATCGTGGTGGTGCCCGTTGTTGGTAGTCGAGAATCTGGCATCGTGGTGGTGGTGGTGGTGGTGGTGGTAGTGGTGCCTGTCAGAGTAGTGCTGCGCCTCGTTCGACGACGGTGGCGAGGGAGAGAAGGAAAAGTGGCCCTCGAGGTTACGAGGCCAGAGGAGAAAGTGGGTGTTGCCGGAGTGACAACGGGAGGATCATCCGGGTCCTCGACGCCAGGACTCGAGGAACAGGCGAATCGGTGGTGTGTAGGATGCACGTCGGTCGACGATCCAGGAGTCGACGTCTCCTAACCGAGTGCCTGATCCTCGTTGATCGTGTGCCTCGTGAGTACAACAATCTTCTCTACTCACAGGACTTGTACGTGTTCTTCCGGTCGTCGTCGTCGTTCCCACCGGAATCATTCTTACCAGAACTGTGGTTCCGAACGGTTAACACACTTGAATATCCTTGAACGACAAACGTTTCAGTCGTCATCCCCGTTTATTATCCCAGGAGTTAACCGATTACCATAGTGGACCTATAGGGTTCTCAAGTTCTTCCACTGGTAGATTTTCAGCAGGGACAATTTGGTTGTACGGCTGGCGAAGGAAATAGAGGTCGAATGCAAATTACGAGCGTGGACGAGGTTGTGCGAGCGATGGGCACGGTAATTGGGGCGAGGGGACGCTGGCTCTGGTGGGCGCGGAGGAGAGAGAGAGGATGCGTTGGATACTTCTCTCCCTTTACATCCTCTTCCTCGTTTACACCCTCTCCCTCCTAACCCCTGTGATTTTCCTTGTTTCTCTTCGTTCTCGCGTTTTCCTTCTCCTTTTTTCCTCTCCCTCTCTCTCTCCCTACCCTCTGGTCGAGTCTGTAAACAGAAGTCACTGGCGCGTGAAGTACATGGGCGTAGGTAAAACTCGACTCCACCGCATCACCGGGGGTATGAAGTTTTTTTCGACGTAACGAGGGACCGACCGACCCGGCGGTGGTGTTATCGTGCGCAACGATGACTCGACGGTGCCCTTTCCGCTCCACTCGCGTGCCACCTTCCGCGGCCCTCGTCTCGCCGTGTGTAACACCGGTATACAAGAATACTAGAAATAATACTCGAGGCTCGTCGACCGGCCCGAGAGTCGAGAACATATCATCCCTTCCTCTCTCCGCGCGCACACACACATCTCGTTCTTTCCCGGCGGTGTGCACTGGCCTCGATTAGTTCTCGCTTAGAGAGAGAGAGAGTTGTGACCGGATTATTCTTCTTTTTTTCCTTTTTTTCTTTTTTTTTAGGGGTGGCGTACAGAGAGAGAGAGAGAGGGCGGAAGGGGTGCGCTAACGACGTCACCGTGTCGAGTGAGTCACGGCTTCTAAATTGATCCCCCACCATGGTTGCTCTTCCTCCTCTTCCTCTTGTGTCCCCTACTTCCTCTTCCTCTTGCTCTCTCTCTACCTATTCCACCTTTTTCTA